AGGGGAACACCTAAGGAATATTCACGCCGTAAAACTTTCATTAACATCGGCTCCCTGTGCGACGAAAAGTTCGATGATGTGCGCCATGGGCAAAGTGTCTCTTTTTTTGGCCACCCCTGTATATGTGAGAAGCCTGTGTGGTGCCACCACAGGACGTGTACGAATCCTTACTGTCTCAAACTCTGCCTCATGAGAAAAAAATTCTCGAAAAGGTAAACACATTAAAATATGGCTAAAAAACTGCTGTAGGGGAAATCTTTGGAAATTACTAATATTTTTCATGCTATTAGTCTGCTGAAGTGCGGAGGGAGGGGGGGGGAGAGGAAGGGGAGAACTTGATGACCGAAGCACAGAGGGGTTTTGATCACGCCATTAATGAGGGGTCTAGTCCACCAATGACGTCTAGTGACGTGATAGAAACAGTGCCCCCTCCACCCATCATAGAAAGCAACCCATTAGAATTAAGGTAGAGGTGGTTAGCCGAGACGAAGAAAACCATGAGAAACGGCCCAGAACCCGAGAAATGGGACCCTTTCCTTGCCCGTTGATTTCCGCATTGATGCGACTCTCATCGGTGCTGCCCTCTTCAACGCTAACGCTCTCTCTGCTAAACGGCTAGAGACCTGCGGCGAGTGGTTAGCCATCGGTGGGCGTGCCGCGTCTATAGCGCCGCGAAGATGGTGGATCGCTGGGGGCTCCTTCGCTGCGATTGCGTGTCGGTCACCACGTTAGAGGGTCTGTCTTTCCACAAGGGGTCTTACAATTTTATCATTCCATAATTCGTAAATATGATCGTACTTCAATTGACGAAGCGTTGTGCGGAGGTGATGATGTAAGAAATAGCAGAGCAGTATGTACCGCAAAATTTATGCTCTGAAATAACAAATAAATAAAAAAAAGCTTGAGAAAATAAAACAACGGATCACAATTCATTTTCGGGCCGCTATAGGGTAACGTATTCTATTGGACAATGACTTTCTGATGTCAAATTAGTTGTTCTATAATAAATCTAAATGCTTTCTTCATCTCACATCATATAGTAACCTGAACTAAAATTAAGTCTTCAAAAATCAAATTCCAAGAAGGGTAATTGGAACAGCAGAAGTTGAAGAGCTTCAATGGTGGCTCATTGAGCAGTAGATTATTGATAGGGAAATTATTATAAAGTAGGTCAGACTATTCGGTTTGGCAAGTGAGTCCAATAGACTCATCGAGGCGTTTTAACCAGTCCGAGGACAGCACTCAACGAACAAGTAGTGAAGAGTGTCGAAAAACCAGACGCTCGTCCTTCAGACATCGTCACCTCCCGCATTTCCACTTCCTCCAACAAGCTGTAGCTTGTTTCCTTGTTATTGGCATTACTGCCTGGATGGATGGCATGCCATATTTCTCCTCCTTTTCCGGAACGGGAAGGAAGTTCAGGGACGAAATGAAGTCTTGGAGTAGAGACGTGTATGACCTCTGAATTGATGTAGTATTGTTCAGCAGGGGAAGAATTTGGAGATAGTGGTTTTAAGGTTTGGGTAAGGAGTAATATCAAACCCTTCAGAACTCTTATCAGCAAATGGT